TACCTGAAGGATTGGTGGAAAGCAGAACTACATAAATGCAGTCATACTTTGCAAGGCATCAGGAGACCTTTACTATTTGAAATAACCTTTTAACGATGTCATCTGTCACATGAATGTTATTTTAACATGTGAAAATGCATTCACATAGGTGAAGATATTGTTATAGAAAACTTAGGATTTCTAACATGAATATATATTCACAAAAAATTAAGCAAAAGAATCATGACTGGTTCTACAATAAAAATATCATAGTACAAAATTATCTTTTGGGGACAATTTCATTACTTTAAATAATGTAGCTGCACTGAGACACTAAGACTTTAGAACAGAGCTGTCCATTAACCAGAAACGTGTACCTGTCTCTTTGATTGCTCTTGTGCTAAGATACTTTGATGAAATGTACAAATGCAATCAATAACTGTTCTTCATTCTACTCCTATCCTTTATCTTGATTAACTCGGGAAATATGAAAGAAAATCTGAACTACATAGATTCCATTCATGACCGCTCCAATTAGTTGTATTTAGCCATCATTGTGCGTTTTTCCTTAAACACTCTTCCACATGGTTTAAGAGTATCCCCCAAAAGTAGGGATAAAACTATAGATCCTAGTTTGGGAATTATTCCAGCACCAGAGAATAGGATTTTCTAGGTCATCAAGACAGATGCCATGGATATCCGATACACGAAACACCAGGGTCTGGGCTGTTCCCCGGGAATATTACAGGGTATTCCTGTCTTCTGCTTCTTTGATTTTGGCTATGTTACCTGTGAATAAAGCAACTGACATCGGAAATTATTACCACCGTATAACAAAGCTTTCTTTCTTCTAAAGCATCCTGGAGTAGACTTAACTTCCAGGCATAGCTTCCACATATATATCTGAAATAATCAATATGGTGGCTCCTGGAATCACTATCCAACTACAAGGACCACAAGACCTGTATCTTATGCATTGGTGAAAGGAAATAGAGCCCAGTAATTAGGCACATGGCTTGTCAAGCCAGATGACTGAGGCTTCAATCTTAGCACTGTCTCTTAGAAGCATACGAGCTATGAATTTGCTTAACCTATATAGGCTCATTTTTCTCATCTGTTAAAAGAAGGTAGCAATTAGCACCTATACCAGCAGATTATTCTGAGAATAAAATGAGTTCACATTTGTAAAATGTTCGGGACCATGTCAGATACAATGATATAGAATTAACTATGAATACCCTTAGAGTTCAAAGTCTGAGTGGGAATAACCATACATGTACACATAAAATGTCTATTTGTTTATAAGTCTATTTCTATGGAAACACATAGATACTCTGACTTCTAGGCAAGATATTTCAGTTACATTTGTCTGTGTCAATAAAACTGGCATATTAATTTGTCTTTCATCTGGAAAGTCAAGAATGCAATTTTGCAGAGAAAATATATCTATATCTATCTATCTATCTATCTATCTATATATATATATAATTTAACACACATTATTAAGTAAAGCTTAGTTAAAAACAATACACCAGAACATGTGGAAAATTAGAGGAAGGAGAAAGACTCAAAAGACAGAAAAAATAAATTAAATATTCATCATCATAAAATAATTAAGCTGTGGAAACATGATTTGGAATTTCTCACCACCCAAAAAGCCTCATTTGATTTCTCACAATGACAATGAATTCAACAGAATGCAGCAACATTACTGTGGTTGGAGTCGGTAATGAATTCAAAGTAGCTTTTCCCGGGCCACAGATTTAGCTCAAAAAAAAAAAGTAGCTTTTCTCTCTCTCAGTGCTGACTGCAGAGTCATACAACCTGGCGATGTAATAAGTCCTGGGCTTACAAACCACACTTTAGACTACCCCAGGTGTCCTGCCCATGAACACCCAGGCAAACAGGCAGAGCACAAGCAAAGTGTCTCATGGAGGAAGAAAGCCCAGGAGTAGCATGCAGTGCTCAGCAGTTGACAGCACAGCATTAGTCAGCCCGCACCACTCCGGCAAACAGAGGTGGTCACGGTGGGCCAGGCAGAGACAAGGCTGGGCTTTCCTTCACAGCCTCTCTACCTCTTTCTAGCCCGGGGCATCTGAGGATACAACACCCTGCAGAAAGACAGCCACAGTGGAGACCCTCAGTCTCCGATTACAACACTGCCACCAGCAGCAGCCCAGGTGTGCCAGCCTATTATACGGGCAGGCAGCCAGTCCATGGGAAAGCAAAATGCCACCCCGATGAATGCAGGCATCACTACTCATAATGTTACCTAAAAATACTTTTAAAATAGAAGAGAAGAAAATAACCACACACACAAGTTCTACGAAAGTATCTTCTTCATAGTCTCTTGCTTTAAATAGCATAAAATTTTTAAAAAATATCTTCATGATAGTATTCAGTAACAACAAAGCAGTTGAATGAAATCACACCTCATTGATTTAGGAAGGTAACCATCTACCTCGCTGTCTTGTTGACACTGAAATCCATTGCTGGCTGGGCTTTATAAATGTGATATAAACTTTTGCATACAAAGTTTCAAATTCAAACCAAAAATGTGCCTAAGTGAGCACATTTCATTCCAGTATTTTCAGGAAAAACACAGGATAAAATTTATGTACATGGTCATCTCTCCGTATCCATGGGACACTGGTCTGGGGACCCTGACAGATATGGAAATTTACAAATGCTTGAGTCCTTTATATAAAATACAGCTATACACACTTTAATTCAGCTCTAACCTAATGGTGCCTAATACAATGTAAATGTATATAAATAGTCACTATACTGTTCTGTATAGCTGCAAAGGAAAAGAAAAAGTCCATACTTGTTCAGTAAAAACACATTTTTTTTCTGGTAAGGATTGAACCCAGGACCTTCACAATAAGCTACATTTTCTTTCTCTCTCTCTCTTTCTTTCTTTCTTTCTTTCTTTCTTTCTTTCTGTCTGTCTGTCTGTCTGTCTGTCTGTCTGTCTGTCTGTCTCTCTCTCTTTTTCTCTATTTATTTGAGACAGTGATGCACTAAGTCATCCAGGTGGTAAGATTTGAACTTGTCATCCTCTTGCCTCAGCCCGATGAGGTGCTGGGATTGAAGGCATGCACAGCAAACACAATTATTTAGACATATATTCAATCTGTGGTTTGCTGAAGCTGTGGCTACAGAGGGCTAATGGAATCATATTTCTAATTGATTCTTCCTTTTCTCCATGCCATCCAGAGGAAACAATCCCCCATAAACACAGACAGTGGGGCTGCCCAGTCTCCTAAACTCAGGCAACCTGGCAAATCAAGCTTCGGAAAAATGGGGAAAATGGCACCTTCGCCTCCTTTCTGTAGGCCTCAGGCATCTGCAGGCAAGACGCTTCTACCTGTGCTTTGCAGAACACTCAGCTCCAAGTGGAATCCAGCAGGGAGGACGCACCCAGGGAACAAGCAGTGAAGCGGCCCATTGGCAAGGCCACTTCCTGTCTAGAAGTCCCTTCTCCTGCACAACCTATTTCAATTCATTTGTTCTAATCTTTCTTCTGATCAGGCCAGCAGCCCATTAATCATTCCTGTCATCCCCTGCAGAATCCAGGGCAGCAGATCCCTGTTTGTCTAAAGTCACAGTGCCAGAAACTGAGCTGGAGCAAGAGGAAATTCTCTGCTCTTTGCCGCACTGGCTGGAGCACTGACTGGAAGAAGCTACCAATTGTGTTCATTTCCCTCTTTTGGCCAGAGTTGTACAGAACATTCCATGGAAAGTTTCGAAAGGGAATTCAGGTGGGAAATGCAGCTGGGGAGGCTGGAGAGGGACCTGACATGTGAAGCCACCAGCTGAGGAGGACGTGGATAAAGAAATGGCAAGATGATGGATATGGATTAACAAATTCCTCATTATTAAACTGCAATGCTTTAGCACCTTCAGACAGTACAGAAGACAAAGTCACGGTAAAATATGCAGGCAGCAAGGTCCTCTGTGCCCTGAAGTGATGGAAAAATAAAACAGGCCAAACAGTGTCCCTCAATAACGAAGAAAAAGCCAGTTCATGCAGCTGATGCACTTGACTGTATAAAAAAGGTGGAAGTGACCCTGAACCTATTCACACTTTAAGCTCACATAAATTGTATAAGTCTGAATCTGTGGATCAGGAAGTGATACTGAGGCCCTACTGGCAAGAGAAGACAGAGAACCATGCAAAGTGCAGAAATCAGAATAAATTGGCCTATGACTCCTGTTCGCTCTGAGACCACTCACGCGGCAGACGAGCCCCACAGTCATCTCTGCATAGCATGGGAACGGATGGCTGCATGTACAGGGTTTACCATTTGGAAACTTGGCTTCTCCTTCCATGTCTGATATTACCCATGTGATCAAGAACAAGTCCCTTTGTAAATGAGGGCGAATGCCCAGAGAGGTAAGTGAGGGAGGCCCTTTGCCAACACCGAGGACCTTCCAAGATCCTTGGACTATCCCAGGTGCCTTGGAGATCTCTTTCAGCTCTTTGATTCTATGATTTGATTATGCTTATCAGAGAAAAGTGTGCATTTCATACACAGAAGTGCTTCTCCAGGGTGTCACTGAGTCAAATTGTAATGGGCAGCAATCAATTATGTCCCAAGTGGCTCTATGTGAATAAATGTGTTAATATCAAAGTTTGTGAATGATTCACTTAGAACCTAAATTATAGCCATTTAGTTATAATTTAGTCATGGGATTTTTTTAGCTGCTATTTTTCAAATATTACTGGTACCTATGGCACAGAAGGAGAGAGATACGGTCAATGGGGAGACCATGAACTTGGTTACATAACAGCTACAGGAACATTTACAATACATAGAACACTGGCCCTTTTAAGCTCACTAAGAAATGGTATTATGAAAGGATGTGGGTAAATGAAAGGATTTCTGTGGGTAAATTTGACCTAACTGTGATCTTAGAAAGACAACCCCACAAAGCTCCAATGCCTTGCTGTATTTTAGAAAGAAGAAAGGGTGCAAATAAGCCACAAATAATTTGAGCATAGAAAGGAAGCTTACCACGAATGCCATCGTACTCCTTAGTGCGGATTCCCACTGGAAGCAGCTCTTAAGGAACTGGATCGTATTCCATATCGCCACCGTGAGTCTTTTCACACGGTCTACGTCCCTTGATAAGATCTGACAAAAATAATACACAGAGAACTAGATTCGCATACTATCAATAGTGCCCTTACGTTATAATTCTGTAGAGGTTCTAGTCAAAAAAAATTAACAGAAAGTAAAAATCCTGATGCTTCTGAAATTCTTCTCAAAGTTATTAGCATTCACAGAGGAAAAGCAAACCAGTGCATATTTCAGCTCATTTGGTGAAGAACAGCCTGTTGTTCAGTACAAATCAAGTTGGCAAAAGCATTTGATATAGGTAAGCATTTGATTTGGTATAGGTAAGAGTGTGTGTGTTTGTGAGAGAGAGAGAGTGAGAGAGAGAGGGAGAGAGAGAAACAAACAGAGTTAGATCTAGAGAGAAAGAGATAATTTGAGAATTAGTGCTGACATTTAATATGGAAGTAATTTATAGACTAACAGTGGAAATATACAGTGTTATAAACCAGTGATGGCAAACCTTTTAGAGAACAAGCGCTCAAACTGCAATCCCAAACCCACTCATTTAGTGCGAAGAGTTTACAATGCAATTAAACCCAAACAGTGAGGTTTCAGTTTAGAAAAGACAGCTGTTATGTGATGTCTGGCTGCAAGGCGCCTTGTCCCTCCTGCCCAGAGAGAGGGCTCTGCATGCCTGCTGCAGACTGCATCCCGGAGGTTCACCACCACTGAGTATAGGTCATCTGGTTCCAAAGAGTAAAAGAAGAGAACCAAGTTTAGAAAGTCTCTTAACCTCTCTCACAAAATAATATTGACAATAGGCCTCACATTGCAAGTGCTTGTGAGAATTAAGAAAAATACCTGTCATATATCAGGTGATTTTAAGCATGTGTATCATAAGCAAAAGTTTCAACTTGATGAACATTTGGGGAAATGAGGTGGTGAGAGGCCTGTGGGGAGGGTGTTGCCACACTGCGGGATTTCAGTCCCCAACCCCTCACTCCTCATTGTGCCCAAAGCCACCCCACATGGAGGTCCTGTTTTGCAAAGGAAACTTTATTCCCCACTTGTAGGTAGATTGCCTTTCAATTTGATTGCAATGTAGCTACCCTACCTACCTCAACCAAAGTTTTAACTTTCAAGTAAACAGAGAAAAAAGCAGCAATAATAATAAGACATTTACTAACATTACACAAAATAAATACACTCAATGTTAGGGTAGACAAAAAAAAAATACAGATGCTTCCTTTTGGAACACTCTGGAGGCCTTTCCCAAGTGTGCTCAGAAGTTCACGGGAAACAAAAGGATGATAAGCTGCCTTTATATTTAACTGCTTTGTGTCATCCACAGCTGTCTACCCACAGGAAGTGGGGGAAGTAATAAATGCCTGAAAAAAGGACACTTTGTTCTTTGCCACACTCTGAAGAAGGACAATGGGTATGGACTGAAATTCTGAGCTATGTCTAAAGAGGACAGGGAGGGACTCTGAACAACAACACAAAAAAAGGTAATGAAAAATGATAATAATAATAATAATCATGAAATTTCCCCTACTGATCCATGCTCTTCACTGAGGGATATACTGATGTGAGAAAAATTTAGGGCAATAAGCAGAGAGACATTTAAGTCAATGTGGGGTAAAATGCCAACACACCCCATATTTGGATAACACAAAAGTGGTAAGAGCAGTCAGAGGAGAACTGGAGGCCAGAAATCACCAAAGATGAACCTTTTGAATGCCTGGCCCACTCAGGGGGAAGAAGCCTTCCTAAGATTTTTAAAGCCCAGAGACGGACAGGACTGTGAGGGAGGAAATTCAGAAGAACCCGTGTGCTTGATGCTAGGAATTGCTCAGAGAGAGATCTAGAAGAGTGTTGGAGGACTAACACTTTTGGCTTCATCCTACAGAGAGACTATAAGTCTCTCCTCTCTCACTGAGCTGCCTAAAACCCTTATTTGGGGAGAGAAGGGAAGACAAGTAGAAAGAAGTGGAGAGGAGGGGAGGAAAGGGGAAGAGAGGGGAGGCAGGAGTGGAGAGGGATGGGGAGAGGCCCACAAGCCATGACCAAGAAGCTCTTGGGTACTGGGTGCTCAATGTGCCCACAAGACACTTACAGCGCTGTACTGACCTACCTTTTTGGACAGCTTGCGGCTATCTTCAACAAAGCGCTTTTCTCTGGGAGTAAAGGTCCTAAGACTGGCCTTGACCTAGAAAGACACCACTGTTTAAAAGGGCAGCATTCATCTGGACTTGATTTTGTTTTCAGCAACTGGGCAGAATGAAGACACCAATAGCTCTGCCCCTCCGGCTGAGACAGGAAGCAGAGGCGATGGCCGAGCACCCCTGGGCTCTGCTGTTTCTGGGGTCTCGTTCCATGAGAGGCCCGGGGGCTCAGACTGCAGCTGGGAGAAAGTTAGCTACCGGACTAACTCCACAGGGGTGCATCTGAAACCACTAGAAGACTGAGGCACATAACTTCTTAAACCCGCGTCTCTAAAAGCTAAAACCTCCCTCTAGTGTCTTTCTCAATTAAGGCTTCATCCATGATGCCTGGCATGTGAACGGCAGCTTTCAACTGGTAAAAAGCAACCCTTCCACACTGAATTTCATTTCTTTCCAATGAACTGGAAAAAATAAGCAGGTGAGCCACAGTAGCCCCATTTCACAGGAAATAAAGTTAGTTTCACAGTGACTTTGTGACTGAGTCAAACCACCAGAAGGAGGAACAGATAAAATCCCAGTCCTTTCCCAGACACACAATGGAAAATAATCACTTAACCAAAACATCTTCAATTTACAGATCAACTTTCTGTCCCTTAAACTCAGATTTTTTCTGAGCATAATAACCTCGTGATATAATCCATACATAAGACAGCAGGAGACAAGGGGTCACCTATCTTGTAACCTGCATATATTTCCTTGAAGGGAAATGGAAAAAACAAAGAAAATAAAAGCAGCATACTCTTATTCTGAACACCTTCGTTCACAGTTCTAGCACTACAGAAATTCTGCAAAAATATAGATATAAAATTCATTATATTATATATGAGTTACTATGCATTATATATTGCCCAGGTTCTATATTACAGATGATATAGAGTATAAAGAAATCAGAGATGTTACAGATGTTACTCAGATATACACATCTATTGTATAGATTCTATAACATAAATTTTACATTAAATAATTATTTGCATATATATCATAAATTATGCATGTTACTACATTTATGCAAATCTCTCTATATTAATGTGTTATATATAAATCCTACTTTTCCCCTTTATTTTCATGTTTTTCTTGACATTTGGATTTCCTGTGAATTAAACCCCATCAATTCTGGGGGCTCAACAGGGTAACACAACTTGAAAGCTGGGACGCTCAGCACAGATTTTATGGTGAAGTGTATTTTTTTAAAATGTTCTCTTTTCTCTCTGGTGACAATATTTCTGAAATATCGTAGCTGACTTTGAATCTCTAAAGGCCTGAAAGCTGGGAGGAATGGCCCACGGAGACTTACCGGATTGTATATGAGATCCATCTCTAAGTAGATAACTCCTTTAAAAGCTTGTTCCAAATCTTTGTTCTTCAACACATAACAACTTAGTTCTCCATCTCTAATCTGTTCAAATAAGAGATAATATATTGATTGGTAGAAACTTTCTGCGTGGTTTAAAAGGAAGAAGCAAAACTAACTTGAGCAAAGTTGAGAATATAGCATGATGAACAGATGAATATTAAACAGGTATTAGGTCCACCACAAATCAATTTTTATTACAGAATGTTATTATAATTGTTAAGAAGATAAAGTAGTATTTACAAGGTCAAACCTGGTAGAGTGATGAAAATTATTGGTACAAATCAAGACTGAACTACATTTCTTAAAAAAAAAAAACAGCGTTTTCATGTATTCAAAAGTAACAAATATTTTACAAAAGCCTGGGCCAATATTCCTCAAGACTGTCAAGGTCATGGGAAAGAAGGAAAGACTAGGAATGCATCATAAATCAGAGAAGATTAAGGAAATAAGATGATTAAATATACTTTAGTACCCTGAATTGGATCCTGGAACAGAAAAAGGATATTAGTCCAAAATCTGGTGAAATCTAAATAAAGATCACAGTTTAATTATTAATAATGCATCAGTGTCACTTGATGTACATTCTGACAGACATATATGATGGTTATTGAAGATGCTCACATTGGGAGAATTTGCGTGAAAGTTACATGCGAACTCTCTAGTCTGTAATTTTTCAGATTTAGTTAATCTAAAAACATTCTCAAAAAGTTTAAATATACTAAAGAAATTAATGCAAAAGCTCATTTTCATAAAGTGATCTGTATTTCACTAACGAGATAACAACAGAAATTACATAAGTAAAAGTGGGTTAGCTAAAGTTGTAGTCAAAATCCAAAATCATTCCAAATACCCCAAGTGCAATAAATATTCAAAATAAAGAAGTTCGCCGGTGCTAACCACTAAGCTACCTGCAGACTCCCACATAGGAGACAGCTCCTGCATCATTGGAGAAACTGTAAAAGGCAGGAAGACTCCCATGAAAGGCATGTTAATTAGCTGGATTTTATCACACTTCAGATTTGATAGGAGGCTTGATTCCGTGATGCACAGTACTGGTGCATGCACTGATTACACTTCTGGCTTTTCAGAACATACCTATTAATACTGAAAGGGCCTCTGCAAAGCTTCAGTTTATCAAACACTCTGTTTTGGAATTGCAATGATCAATAATTTACTCAATTTAGAAGATTCAAGGACGTGGAAACGGAGCCATATTTTAAAAGATCATTGCTGTCACTAGAAGCATTCACACAAGCGTTCCTATAAACAGTGGTGGAAATGAGTGGACTGAGTCACAGCGGGAAACAGCAATTCCACTTTACAAGGGAGAGGTCATCTTCCTTCCCAAAGTCACCCCACCTCTCTCAGATTGAATAGCTTTTATGCAATACGATGGTTTTCCTGGCCACTGGCTAAGAGGAAGGGGGTGCCCCATAAAGACCTGGCTTCCTTCCTCAACGGAGTCCAAACAGGATTCTCAGCTTCTGCTCTGAAACACAGTCTCACTTAATAAATTGTGGGTGTTAAAGTTGAAAGAGATAAATACAAAAACAGCATGACAGTTTGCTAAACTGCATTTGGTCTAACTTTGCTTTAGCCCTCAATTATACTCTATTCTTAAAATTTCCATGATTTCTTTAGAATTAAGGAAGATCAAAAGAACAGGAGGTATCAGTATAAAAAGAAATATTTCATAGCAAAAGGAGGTTTTTCTTTTTTTAATTTAGTAAATGACCATTTCCTGTTACTCAATGTCCCTAGAATCGTGTCAGCAAAACCCAGAATCCACCTATGGACATGAAAGCCATCATCAAAGCTAGGTATAATTAAAGCTATTCATGTTCAGCACTGTAACAGAAAATTAATTTCAAACATACAAATTCAACAACTTTCAAAATTACCAAAGAAACTAATGTTCCTTTGAACTTCCATAAATATCACAATTCTTTCCTCTGATTAGAAATTCAGAAGGAATTGGGCGTGCATCCTTTTTTAAAGTTTTTACTAAGACTTTATATCATAAAAATAGTGTTACAAAAGGATGTAAGACTTTTGGCCTAAGTGATACTCTAGATATTACAACTTCAGTTTGTAGCTACCCATCTGAGTTTGTATTAACATATAGATGTACCTAATTTTTAAACTGCTATACAGCATTCAAAGTGCAAATGAACTACAATTTTTAATGAAGATTTTTTTATTTAACTTTTCAACTTGTTTGCTACAAAGAATATATTTTAAAATGGTAAAGGGTAGAGGGAAGAGCAAACATACTATGTTGGATTTGAAACATGTTTGAATTAAGAATAGGTAAATGCATTTGAATATTTACTGTTATAATTAAATACTGTACTGAAATGCTAACAGAAGGGACTATGTTTTTAAAATATCTTCATTTTCCACTGTATTTATGAAATTGAACTTCCAATGCAAGAATAGAGGTTAAAAACATCTCTTACATCCCAACTTGCCAAGCACTTACAAGACAGCAAATTCTAATAGGAAATAAAAATTTAACATAGATTTTGTGTCAAAAGCTAAGGTATTTGTTCTTAGAACTCTGTAAATAATGTCCAATACCTTATCATTTTAAAACATTAAAGAAGGTAATTAATGTACACTCAAAAACATTTTAAGGAGAAAATAGCTATTTTTAATCTTTGCCTAATTTTGTTGTCCCTGTCAACAAAGGCAAAAAGAAGTGAAACAGATTTTAATTTATGATGAAAGGAAGACTGTAAATATATGTAGAGAGCCTTTCTGGGATTCTGGGGAGGACTCCACTTTACTCAAATATAAAGGTCTTGGATTAAAAGAAAAAAAAAACTATCTTTAACATCAAATTTGCAACTTGAATTTTTTTTTTTTTTTTTTTTTTTTTTTTTGGTACTAGGGATTGAACTTGGGTCCCTGCCCTTGCAAGGCAGGCCACCAAACCACTGAGCTAAATCCCCAGCCCATACAATTTAAATTCTTAAAATTGACCTATCACCTATGGTTTTATACCACTCATTTCATAGGCGAAGAATGTACAACAGTAGGCAATTAATTTGAGGAAAGCATCTTCACCAGACAGTGATGTAGATGTAACACAATTCTAAACAGAAACTTCTATAACCCAGAACACTGGCATTTTCATGTCCCTTAGATTATTTTCAGATACAACATAAACATCATAAACTTTTATCAGAAGTTTGCTAAGAATTAATTCCTGGCCAAATTATTTGGTGTATGAGAGAGTATGGAAGTTTGTTTCTGAGTAATTAGGATTCTGGAGTCAAAGGAAAAGTTATTAAGTAGGCAGGCTGGTTTAAAAATTTTAGTCTGATCTGTAAACTTCCTTAAACTAGTCAATATTTTTGCTACAGGTGAGAATATTAAATTTCATTAAGTAAGCTGAAATCACAGTAAATACGGAAGGGAGGCTTTCTAAAAGTTAGTTGACTAAAGAATTGTCGCTATTTTGGTTGACTATAAAAATGTTTGGTTCAATGCCACACCAAATGATTCAATAGAGGTGTCAATCAGAATCTATTGGAAAGAACAGAAGGGAGGAAAGCATAGAAGGGAGGAGTGATACACAATTAAGATAAAAACCCCAAATGCAAGAGTCACATGGAGTCCTTCATTGTGGGAAATTCAAATTAGAACATGGAGATGTGGGTATAAACCAGCATTACCCAATTAGGGCCTTCATTCCACAGGGGAAAGCAGAACACTTTCATGTGAAAAGCTGACACATCAGTTGGTCCCAGCTGATGCTCAGGCAAAGTGACTTTCCAACAAAATGTCATGGGGACAGAAACAGGGCTTGGCAGTAGGGCAATTGATACACTTTATTTGGTAGCAATTCACATTCACCCCACTTGGAATTGAGCCCGTCCCAGAGACATGAGTTACAAACAACATGAGAGATTCGAATGTCTACCAGGTCACTGTTTGCGCAGGAACCAACCAGGGGATGCAGCACAGAGTTCATTCCCTCAGGCCCCTCCCACTTACATCTTTCAGCTCTTTTTGCTTCCCAGGCAATCTGTCCACTCACTACCCTGAAATAAAACCAGCTCTCAACTTAATGATAAGGTATTAGAATCTTGATGAGTTAGTTCTTATCATCTGCTCTCCCTAAAATGCTATCTACAAAGGCAGTATATAATAATTCTAAAAATTGGGTAAAATTTACCAAGTAAATTTTAAGAGGAAAAATATAACACTAGTAATATGAAACAAATAAAAATTTAACAAGTAAACACACACTTATAGTTTTTAATGTACATTTATGTCTCTTATGAAAATAGAACAGGTGACATTTTGGAACCCGGGAGGCAGATGAACTGAGTCTAAATTCCATCTCTGCCTCAGACTTGCTGGGTAACTTTGGATAAATTACATAATCCCTCTGTTCTCAGTTTCCCGATCTGTACAATATGAATAAAAAGAGTACACACTTAGGAAGCGGCTGTGAAATAAGTCAGCAAAAAGCAACACTGTAACACCAACAGGTACATAGTAATTACATGTTTAAATATTATCTAGTTTTAATCTTAATTTATATTCATTCCAGTGGCTTCTTTCAAGTTTAACGATGCACAGAAAGCATTATATTTTTCCCACACAATCGCTTTTCTTATATAATTCAGAATGGGTTTCCATCTTCTGAATATTTTGTAAGGACTTGATACTTGACTAATCTTGTCGCAACTCATTAAGATAATTTTTAGTTGTTAAAATATGTAAACAGCATGATGAATTTATTCCTAGATGTCTTTATGTACCCAGAGATACTTTTTCCTTTTTTTTTTTTTTTTTTTTTTTTTGAGACAGGGTCTCACTATGTAGTTGAGACTGACCTGGAACCATGTAGCCCAGGCTGGTCTTGAACTCACAGTGATCCTCCTGCCTCAGCCTCCCAGAGTGCTGGAATTACAGGCACGTATCACCATGCGGTGCCAGAGATATGTTTCTTAAGATAAATGTCTACAACTGGAATTGCTGAGACATGAGATATGGCTATTTTAATGCAAAGAGCAGTATTGCCAGTT